TTTCTCATATGACATTTGCTTCAACCATAGATAAATGATCTAAAAAACCTTGTTCTGCTGGTTTCTGTTTGTCTACAGTAGGTAACGTCGATCTTTTACACTTTGCTAGTGCCATCAAGTAAATAGGAAAATAAATAACAATTATCATTGTAGACAAAATAGAAAACGAATGATATAGAATAGAACAAAGTGGATATCGCGATTTATAATACAATCAATACAATGATTCTTTTCGACGTGTGCATGTCTAATTGATAGAACATTCACTCGCACTTTCAGAACATTCAGACAATGATCAATCAACACTCAACAGTGAGAACATACAACGGCCATATGTATCACAACATATGTAACTTTTTCTTCTTGTGTGTGTGGGCGTATATACTTCATCTTTTTATTAAACCACGCCTACACCCTCTCGATTTGACACTTACTATAGTACACATAGACAACAGCACGAACTAAGAACAATACGCTCATTGACTATATATGACCCTTTCGTGCCTGTATCCCAACAATCCTCATCTGCAATAGTAAATTTCACTACGTTGCCTAAGCATCCAGTATTTTATTCATCGAAGTAGCACATTTATTATGCATTTAGTGAACAAATTCAAAGGTGATATGTAAAACAGTTGCATAGCTGCTTACGAATATCGTTTACAATTTATGAAAGTCCAGACACGCTCCAATTCGATATAACTACAAACCAGTCTGAATGTTATCGTCACATACGCAGATAAGAGCAGCAGTTATAACACCACCATAAGTATAAGTAGTAGTAAGAACAACGCATGTGCTATGTTCACGACGCTTGAAATACTTGCAAAATTTACCATTGCTATAACTGTATTTGTCATTTTCATTCCACTTCTTGCAATTCTGAATCCACTTCCAGCTGTTAGAATCAGTATAGTACCAGTCACGGCATTTTCCACATTTAGCACAAGGACGACCTTTACAAATAAGTTGCTTGTAAGTACCAGCTGTAGCAAATTCTTGTTGTTCTAAATGAAAATGGTTGGCATTCAGTGTTAGACTGTAGCTAACTGCTCCTGGTTCTACTTTATTATCACTAAGAGATAGGAAGAACACACTTGATCTGCATGACCAATGAAGAGTGACTAAGAGTGAGAGAAACACAAGAGAGGTAGTGGTGAAAGATGCCACTACCTAACACCTCCGCCCTTTACCAGTGAACAGGTATATCTGTTCACGAAAAGATAATAATAAACAAAGAGACAGATAGTGAAAAATGAGAAGAACAGAAAGCAGAACACGATCAGACAAAACAAACATAGAGAAACAAAAAAAATCAGTTGTCGATACTTCCATTTTCGAAAAGAAGAAAAAAATAAATGACGATATTTCCATTTACGAAAAGAAACTCGCACTTGAAATATTCCATTGTGACAAATATATCGAAATCCACGTCGAGATGAACAGTTCCATTCTAGATTACTAAGTTTAAGTGCAATATCTTCATACACAATAAGAGAACATGAGTATGGTCGAGTTTTATCAAGTAAATCAGGATAGAAAATATTGGATGTATAGCTTTGAACAATTTTCGATGTGGGGTTCATCGAATTGATATGGATCAGGACATAAAGATTGAACATCTTGTGATGCAGCAGTATTAGTTAATGAATCATCAGTTATAGCGGTACAAATAGTTTCAGTAAAAACTTCAATAGTATCTCCAACACCATGTGTAATAGGATCATTTTCACTAACAGATTCATATTGTTGGTTTAATGTATCAAAATCAGTTAATACATCGTTACATTGCGATTGAATTTCTAAATCAATATCATTGATAGGAACTAATATAGGTGAAGTATATTTTTGTGAACATTCATTTAAATTTTCATCTGTAAAATCTTCGAATGATTCAATTTGATTATCATTAAGGGGAGCTAAAAGATCATGTTCAGTATGTTGTTTCTTTACGGGTATTGTTGAAGTTAACGAGAAGTTTGATGAAGTTGAAACGTGAGAGAATTGTCGACATTGTTCCACTTTCAATAATATTGGATTAAATAATGGTGGAAATGCTTTAACAATTTCGATTTTGAATGTAACCCAATCATGAATAGTTGACCTTTCAAGTCGAAACCATTTGTCAGCAGTAGCAGTTAAATAGCATTGTGCAACTATAAATTTATTAGATGGACGTAGTTGTGCTTGTTCAAATAGTTCTTCAGTTTCATGTAACCATTGACTAACATCTTCATAATGAGAGCCACCAAATTTAGGAAGACGTCGAATGATTTCTTCAGCATATCGTTCTTGTAATTTGACATCCATAACATAAACCGTAAGTGAATTAAGAAATAGAGAAGCGGAGGAATAAATCAATAAGTACGTATAATAAAGACCAAGTAAATCACCAAAAACTCACCAGGAAGAGAAGATAAGAACCAAATAAATCAATCAGGGAAAAAAACTTATTATATTCGACGAATTTGTCGAAACGGGTCACTGCACCAATTGTTAGACTGTAGCTAACTGCTCCTGGTTCTACTTTATTATCACTAAGAGATAGGAAGAACACACTTGATCTGCATGACCAATGAAGAGTGACTAAGAGTGAGAGAAACACAAGAGAGGTAGTGGTGAAAGATGCCACTACCTAACATTCAGAATGATTTCAAAGTATAAGTGGAAAAAAGTGGCGATCTAACTTCTTTTTCGTCATACTAATCTATGCTCATACTCATTCATCTTGAATATTATAAAGATACATATAGAATATCAAGATCTACTTTTCTGTATTATACAAGACACTTTTTAAAGAGGTGACTAAAACATGTTTGCTATGATGTAGATTCATTATTGAAAATTTTTATTGGGTTGAGTTCGTTACACGAAATAATAACTTGAAGAATTTTTTTATACATACTTTTTTCCTCTGATTTGTTGTTCGATATTGACAGACTAAAAGAAAATGAAAAAAGTTAGTTATCGTATCATAAATTCGTTCTATTAAAACTTATCTGGTTAGGACATACTAAAATTAGTAGTGAAAGTCCTTAAGTTTTTGATATAAAGCTTGAAGAACTTTTCATTTCTAATGCAGTGATAGAGCGAACAATGCTCTACCTACGTATCGTATTTAATCATTCTTCAACTAGCATCATATTAATAAAACTACGATAGAGAGAGATTTATTGCTAAATGTAACGGTTATATTTATTTCATTAAAAAAGTGGCTAAATTTTTTTAGAATAATTTTTAATAAGCACTGGAAAAGAACTACGGTTGTCACGATTGTAAAAGAAGATGAAGGTGCATCAAACTATGTACTCCAAGTAGATCTAATAAATACCTGATAGGTGAAAGTTTATTTCAAACAACTGACATCGTCGGCTGCTTTCAGAAATATTGGCTAGAAATTTAATAAAGAAATCGTATAATGTAAAACTCAATATATTTTCATCTTCTCAATAGAAAAGATCGCTTTTTTTTAACGTATTCGTATCATAAGTTTTCTAATATAGATGTATTTAATACATTTCATAATAAACAGCACTTTATGAAAATTTTATATATATAATGTCAATTAAAGAGTGATTAAATAACACAAAAAATAAAGCATCATTTACTCTATTACTACATGGAAACAAAGAAAGGTTCTTGTAAGGAAGTAGAGCATTTGCGTCATTGTTTTCATAACGTGCTAAGTATACAGTATTTCTTTGGTGACGAAATTTCATGCCTCTCATCTTTGTACGACAGATGATTCTAACTTCCATAAACATTATAACAATTGATACTGATTTTATCATATTAATTATCTCATATTTCTTTATAGAAATTTATACAAGAAGAAGAAAATATTGGTATTCTATAATAGTTATTTTGTTTTCAATGGTTTATATTTCAGCGTGGTAGTAATATTTAAAAAGAGATTTTTAACATCATTTGCTCTTATTTTATCTACAAAAAAATAGCAAAAAGAATCAGTTTTACTCGATAAAAATATTGTTGTCGCCGACAATGCCAAAGTTTTGACGAAGAAGTAGTTTTAATTACAATTTAATCTATAGAAATTATAGATGTTTCAATGTGATTACAAAATTAAACTCTAGACTAAAGCTACTTGCAAAATATATCTCTGTGATGGAATTAAAAGCGACTAATCTACCTGTCCTTTGGTGCGATAACTGGTGATGGATTGGCTGTAGCGGCTGTTGATATTTTTGAAACATCCTTAAAAGATTACAATTAATGCTTTTATTTCACAGTGAAGTAAGAACAAGATACTCACTTTTGATACAGGTTCAAGAAGAGGATATGGTGGTTCAATTTCTTTAAGGTGTATCATGTAAAGACCACCTGATGGATTAAGACATGAAACAACTTTAAATTGTCGACCAGGTGGAAGAAGAACTTCATCTTCAATTTTAAATGATGAATGTTGTTGAATATCTTTACCATTGATGCATTCAATGGTAAAAAAAGTTCTTGTACCTGTCAAACGCAAAAACTGTTCATTTTCCAAAACATCCATAGTAGCTGTACAGGAACTGAATCCCCACCAAATAACTGTTTCTCCTTTTTTATAATATTTGCGCATATCACCATTGACTCCACGAAAAACAGTACGTTGTACTGGTGGAAGTTTTGATAATGCTGTAAGAACCAGTTTCAAGTAAAGGAACCATGGAACTAATTTTTTCCGATCTTCCGTACGAAGAGTTTTGTTTAGGACATAATAAAAGCTCTCTTCGTATGGATACCATTGCAGTGAATAAAGTATGATTGAAGCTGATTCATCTTTTGAAAGATGATCAGCAGGCGGATTGCGACATTTCTCTTTGGCTACATATGCCATTCGCTTGATATCGGGCACAAATTGAACTAATGGCTCAACTGCGTCTTCGAGTGACACAAGAGGCTTTTTTTCATAACCTTGGATGGGTAATAACATTTCGCAAGTTTCTTCAGCAACGTCGAAAAAACGTTGGTTATGTTGTGATCCATCATCATCATCAGAGGATTTTTTAGCCATTGTTGAAATTGAAATTAATATGAATTCTACAAGAAAACAATTAATAAATTGATTTTTGAGGGTGTGACTGTAAATGTGAATGTAAGTGTAGGAATGATATTCACATCCACAGACTCAGTACATATTGTACAGTTCAGTTACAAATAACTCATATAGAGAGAAGCAACTACATATAAATGTTATGAGACATTCATTATAAATTTTTTTCTGTAATATCAATAGAATATATGATTAAACGCAATAGCTTCGTTTTTCAGTTCATTAGACAACTATGTGTGTGCGTCGAGAAGATAAGTCAGATAAAAACAAAAAGAAATCTATGAGACAGATGAAAGTAAAAATTCATAGGAAACATGTGAGTATATATTTTTAAATGAATTTTGACTATTTTTTTCTGACACAACCAAGAGAGATGTATATTCTTAATGTACACACATCAAAATATTTGATTATAGATGTAACGCGAATTTTGTTGTTCTACCGAAATCTGTCACTTTAATGATAGAAACCTGAGATATTTTCGAAAAGAACTCTGCTATAGCATCGAAAGCAATTTGGCAAATCAAAAAAATCAGTTGTCTCCTCCTCGTTCTAAAAGGAACGATATATAATCAATAAAATTAATCGTAAATCTAATGTCCTTTTACTCTGAAATTATCACTGTCATTAACAAAACTTTAGATATTCGAAAGATAATCATTTAAACAAAAAATATTCATCGGAACTCACCTTGCTTTTTTTGTTGTTGATTGATTGAATAGTGTATTTAGCAAGAAGCAGTGTGCGTTTTGAGTAAGTGTTTCGTTATTTTTCTTTTTCTTTTTCTCACATAATTTTCAATGGTTGCAAAATTCAGTTGCAATAGTGACTATACACTGTAGGAACGATGATTACACGTTTTTCTTTCGTATTACAACCATCATAGCAACAAACAGAAAGCAAAAAAGAACTGAATTATTATTTTAATAGCAATGGATAATGAGGGTTGAAAAACATATTATTTGAGCAATTGAGAAGTATGAAAATGTTTGTAACCAACTATTTTAGGTGTGGGTGTGAGTGTGGTTGTGGGTATGGGCTGATGTGGGTGTAGATGTAGCTTTAAATCTTCAATTCATTAGTCACTCATCGATACCTATACAAACTCACATCTATATCCACACCTTTAGGATGCTCATGTGCTGAACAGTAATGAATCGACAGCCAGTAACACTTGGATATTATTCCACGGCCTTGGTTGAAATGCGCAAATATTCTCGCATACAATAGTCAGATTACCTTAAAGTTTCATTTATTTCTCTTGCTGTATTTCATTTTTAAATGAAAAAAGAATGAATTCATTTTACAAAGAAAAAACTCTTTCGTTACCTATGAAAATGGCGTAAAGTGTTTTTCAAAAGTAACAGTTGTTGTTTTTTTCTCAGCTTACCTGCATAAAGAAATATGGTTGAATCAAATGCTGGACATAATTTGAAACAAGATTTAGTTGAAAAACATCGAAATGTTATCGGACAGCAGCATCCTATTATTATTGTTAATAGTAATAAAGATCAAAATAAAATATTCGAGCAAAGTTTTTCGGAATATAGTCGTATTACCAATCGACCTTTATATGTATTCGATAATGTGGATGAATGCTGCGATTTTGTATATGAACAAGCATCTTCTAATGAAGAAGCCAAATGCATTGTGCTAGTACAAGATCAATTTGCAAACGAACTTATTCCTTCTATTGTTCATGCGGAACAAATTGAAGATATTATTATTCTCAATGAAAATCCTCCGTGTCAACAAGAAAGAGAATCGATGAGAGAATATACCAAAGTACGTGAGTCAACGAAATCATATTTTCTCTAGAATAAGTTCCATTATTGAATCTGATATCGATTGTCTTTTCCTTATGATTGAAGCTACTCTGACATGTAAATTTAATCTCACAAACTGAATGAATATTTTAGATTATAAACGCCAATGGCTAGTCTAATGTTGAGAAAGTTATCCTAGTCGGAAATAATAAACGATTGTTGATAGTTATACCTGCCATCAGATACACATTTAAGGTGAAACTTGCCAAGTATCGATTCCGTTTTCTGAGTTTGAGAAGTATTAAAAGTACGGATCGTGTCGAAATCAAAAGTTTTGAGAACAGATTTTAATTATTCAGAAAACTGAATTTTCGACAATGAACGAATAATAGATTGAGGATGGATGCTGGTGAGTGTCACACTATTCAATTCACCTACATCTTTTTCTTGTGGTCTGCTACAGAGAATTTATAGATAAAAGAAAAAAACTTGAGCGTCTCAGCTCGAATCTACATAATTGTTCCACAAACTTTTTTTTATATTGTGTCACATATATCGCAGCCTGCTTAAATTCTTTTTTTTTCTGCTGATAATTTCTACGAATAAATCTGTCATTTAGGAATGAAGTAAGTTCTCGAAACTGTGGGCTAAATTGTGTGATGAATTCGATACAAGCGCTCACGTTCAGATCCTCGAACATAGTGTATTCCACTACTAGTGCTAAGAAACATGACGTTCACTTGAATAAATATCACATTTGAGCATTCATCCTATTCCTTGAATTCCGGAACCGTTCGAACTCAATCAATTTCGAGTGGCTCTCTTATGCTGCGTGTTGATCGAGTTCCAGGAACCGGGCAGACTTGATTCTGGTGTGGAATAAGATGTATTCTCTCGTACGTATTTATATTGTAGGTTAGATATGCCAGTGACCATAGCACAACTGAGATAATGCTTCCTGACAATTACACAATAGATCGAGAAGTCACTCAAGAAGAGCGATTTAATGAATCCATGATAATCGACTCAGCACACTATAATGAAACATCCCAACGTTCATCCGAATGTCTGTTCAGTACGAAAATATTATTTCGTTATTTCATGTTAAAATGTCTGTTGGATGCTGAATCGATACCATCGGATAATGATAATCTTATTGAATTATTCCGAACAAAACTGTCTGTGTCTGAACAGGGCATTTACGAATTCAAAACGAATTATACAGCTGATCAAGCAATACTATTTTATACGAAATATGGATTTATATATAAAGAAATAAATGAAGCATTGCGTTCAATAAATATCGATTATCTTCTACGATTTCGTTTTGTACTCAAAGATATTTATAATCAATTAACTCACCTTATGGCAGTTAAACCCACAGATGAAGCTACAAACGTATATCGAGGTCAATATATACATTTCTATGAGATATTCGATTTATTTAACAGTTTCAAACAACGAATACCAACTATCATTAATAGTTTCTTCTCGACATCACTCGACAGGCAAGTATCACTCGGATTTCTGAAGGCTGGCAGTGAAAGAAACTCAAGTATAACATCTGTTCCGGTACTTTTTACAATTACTATTCACAAACAAGATGTATCATCGGACAGTCCATTTGCTGATATATCACAATATAGTACAATTCGTGATGAAAAAGAAATCTTATTTACACCAGGTCAAATGTTTATGATCGACAAATTTGACATGACGTATGAAAATGGCACGTTTATTTATTTGATTAATATGAATCTTTATAACAACACGAAGTTCAGTCTCAATGCTCAATACAGTCGAATGAAATCTCAATGGCAAGAAGAAACAAATGATTCGTTACTTCATCTCGCTCAATTACTTACTGCTTCGAATCGTTACGATCAAGCAAAGAAATTATATGAGCAATTACTCACCCAGAAGTCTGACCAGCAAACAAAGATGATTTGCTATAAAGGTTTGCGTGAAATAGCTTCATTCATGAACAGTAGTGATGAAGTGAAAGCCTATACTCAGAAGTTGATGGAGTCAAAATTTGATAGTCATCAGACGTTATCGCCAATGCCGGACCAGATAGTGGTTGGTAGAGGATTCCAGCAAATGTTATCAACATTTATGAATAATGCTCAAGAAGCGTTATCGCAAACATCTCTTGATCGTCCGCTTCAAGATATTGCTAGTTACACGAAAAGTAATGAATAGAGTGACTTAACACATCAAGCTCCACAAATAGCATATACAACCGGTCAGACACTGATGCACACCTAACAATATCAGTTGGCAATTCTATTTCTTGAAGTATCAGTAGCGGCCATGAACGGAATAAACGACGCAGAATTTGTTCTCTCGCATAAATCAAAATGTTACAAAGCCATAGGCGATTGCTATTGTCAATTAGGTGACAATAAGGAAGCTCTAAAGAATTATACATTGGCATTGAATGAAAATATTCATTTACGACCCGATGAATATATTAACATATTGGTTTGTACAGGTAAAATACTCGAAGCAACAAATCAATCGGAAGCAGCTTTATCAGAATATATCAGAGCAGCTGAGATCTGTCAAAATGAATTACCAAATGCGAATTCCAACGATATTGTAGAAATAGAAGAATGTATTAAACGAGTAACATCATATCTTTGTCCACCCGATACATAATCTTGCTGAAAATAATTCTTAACCTTTGTACGAGTTCGTTTTTTTACATTTTATTTTAATAAAATAGCAACTTAATAAATAATTAAAGTTTCATCTTGAGGGTGGGTGTGGGTGTTGGTAGGTGTTCGTGTATGCGAGGAACAGACCCATACCCAACCACTCCAATATCCATCGCTTGTTTTTTAATTCTCCCTACAGAATAATATTTGGAGCTATCCATCATAGTTTTCGATATTCTCACTTTTTATCAAGGTCATAGAAGAAATCGATAAATATATACGTATATTCTTAACCTTGATTTGATGAAATTAACTCATGGTTTTGAAAATAAATAGTTACTTAAAAATGTTTGAACTATCCAAAAGCAACTAACCATAATTATTTAGTTAATATTACAAAAAATAGAATGCATATACAAATTGATGTATTGTTCAACACCGATCTTTGATCAATAATAAACGAGTTAAATTTCATGATTAATTTTATTATCAAAGACGAAGTTAAAAATAAATTTCCGAGGTAACTTTACAAGAATTACGAATATGAAAAACTAAATAACCAAAAAAACTAGCAGTGTTCAAATTTCCTAAAAAGGAACTTTCCGAAATTACTAAATACTAAAGGAGAAGTTTCGAAAATTGTATACACATGGCAAGAGTCACTTCTAGCAATTTCCTTTTTAGGAAATTTGAACAAAGCTCGTAACGCAGTCAGAGATGCAACTATCAGATCATTGAAAATTGAGTGAAAAGCTGACACCGATAAGAATTTTCGAATCTATATTTATTGCTAATCACTATGTTATTAAAATAAAAGTTTAAAAAAAAACTTAGAAATTTCGATAGACATTTGTTGTCTCCAGTTCGAAAATAGTATGAATTGTTGTACCAAGAGCCATTACTACTTGTACTAATTGTATTGTTGAGTAGTACATTGCCGAAACAGTGACAAGAATAGAGTCAGCTTGATCATTATGCGCATAGGGAACACATGTGGAGGGTTCTTCTTTCTGAGCTGATTTTTCGATATAATAGTCTGTAAGACGATCCATCGCCTGTTGATAATCAGTCTGAAGACGAAGAACCGTTCGATGAAGTTCAATCAGACAATCTTCATTTGCTGATAAATCTCCTTTAATTAATTTGCTTTTTTTACGTAGAATATGGATATGACTCCATCGATAATATGTTGTTTTTGTCAGAGTAAAATAAGATATCCATAAATTAACACAATCATTCAATTGTCGACTTAAATCTATTAAATCAACATCAAGATCTAGTAAGATTCGTGCATCAGTACTATTTAAACGAAGATCTTCAATTTGTTTGTGATCATTCAATGAGTATTGTTTGATATACATTAACTATCATATCAAGATTAACAAAGAATCGTATATTTTTAAATTGAACTTACTGTAGCATGCATACTGTGTAAAATTCTAAACATATCATGTTGTTGTAAGACTAAAGTATGATATCGACTGGATGAAAAACCATAATTAAACCATAAGAATGATGGTTCCAATGCTGTAGATTGAACAAGAGTTCGTTGAGAAGTGATCAGTCGATGAAAATGATTGCGTTCGGGGTCGATATTGAATTTGGTTTCTTCATGTTGATCAACATCAATTGATTGTTGTTTGGAATCTTGCTGTTGAAATAAGTGATCGTAAACAGAATGAATCGATTCGACAGCATGACAACATGTTTTTAATGTATCTAAAGAAAATTTCAAACAAATAATGAATAATTTGATATTGACACAGACCTTGAATATTTTTTTTTAACATATCCACTGCAAAAGTCGGAAAAATCAATATGGTCAGAATAGCACCCAAACCAATGCCAATAATAGTTTCTTCTATTCGCAGAAGAACATAATTTCCTTCTCGTAAAACATTTCCATACGTTTGACCTAAATTAATCAGGACTGGAGTTGTAGCAGCTACTGGGGCTAAAAAGTCCCAATGTGATACCAGTTTTAAAAAACCAAATAGAAAAAGCCATGGGACAAGCATTACACATATTTTATATAAAACTTCACCGACTGCTAAGTAAATCGCGTAGGACCACATCGAACCTGCAATAGAAACGAGAATATTTTCTCATAGTAAGGATATTTAATTGACCTAGTAAAATTCCAATTAATCTCATTTTCATTGATGTTAATGCACCACCAACTGTATCACCTTGTGTCGTACACAGACCGATCAATATCCATTGTCCATTAGCAAAGGTATTGGCTAGCGTAGGTACCATAACAAATATCGAACCAACACCAATGATGATCATACTTTTAATTGCTGAAGAGATTCTTGACCAATCAAACTGGAATTTGAAATAATCTCCGAATCCTTTTTTTTGTTTCATGGTTTTTTTTGTTGTGTTTAATTCAGAATCGTTCACAATTGTTTGTCTCAATATTCGTACTATAGCACCCAATTGAAAGAAGAAAAAAGCATGGGAAAGATGATCTTCTGATTGAATCTTAGCACCTGTTTCAATCATTTCTTCAATATGATCAAGGCGCACTTGTTTATAAATTGAATTCACAGAATCTAATGCTGCTTGGAGATTGTTCAGAGTATGGAGGAACACTTCTCGAGTAATCGATGAAGGTGAGATAAGAGCAGAAATAACCTTAGATTGACAAGCAGTGAATTCTGTGAAGTTCGATTGAAATTTCTCCACTAAATTCGTATGATATTTATTAAACAGGCACTGATTGGTCATCGATTGTAATGAACAAACGTGAAACATCAATGAAATAACTAAATCTGCTTGTTCTTTAATGTTTAAATGAGTAATAGTTTTTTTTCGTCGACGACATATCCGTTGTAATAATCGAGACGGTTCTAAATGAATTTCATCAAGTAATCTTGCTCTCATTTGACTCATTGTTTTATGTAATCGTCGTTCAACAACTTTTGCTCGAGCTAAAGATACTTGCGCTTTGATTTCGTCTTCGCATAGGAATGCTTGCAAAACAAATTGGTGCATTTGATCAATATGTAATAAACAATAATTGACACGATTTTCGATATCAAATGTTGCAAAAAGAGGAAAAATGAGCATAGAAGCAAGTACTGCCACGAACATGCCAATAATATAATTAGCAGCAAGTTGAAAAGCAAGTTTCGACTGAACTTTTTCTTTATTGAAAATAGTCAGGAAAAAAAGTGCATTAAATAAAAGAGTTAATTTTCTTGTTTGAAACTAAAACAAAGAAAACAATAGAAAATACAAATTTCAAATAATCTCTATCTATCTACCGTTTTACACATATATGAAATACAAAACGAAGAAGAGAGTATTAATACTATGCCAATTGGATAATTGTGATATACTACAACAAGATGTTGAATAACAAAAAGAATAATTGATAGTGGAATAATGGCAAGTGAGACATGAAGTGCTGTAGATAATGTATGACCAAATGTTTCTTGAATACATATAACACCTGAATTTGGTATCATAAATTGATGTGATAAATGAGCAGATAATAATGTACCATAGCCAATAAAAGTACAAATGAGAAATGTCGATACTAATCGACAGGCAAATTGTAAACGACGAGTAAACGCTGAATGGACATACAATGAGGACGATTCAACATGATGACAATTAAAATAAAATTTAACAACTGAACGACAAATACTTGATAAGGTCATATCTAGAGAATACTCTATACACTTCACAAAATATGATTTATCAATGGTAGATAGTAAATACAAGGACGTAATAAAGCAAAATACGTTTAGTAAGAACACGTTTACAAATAGTGAAACATTTACGGCGATAGGATTGAATCAACGTAATTATTCGATCGTAAAAAAAAGAAAAATAGTGCGGACGGTTGTTTTTTTGTTGTTCTTCTTCCCATGCAAAAAAAATGTAGAGGAAAGATAAAACCAGCCAAAACAAACATGTGACTATAGTGAATAGGTTTTTTATTCTTTTCTTCTTTTTTATTATGTGTTTTACATGTAATATTTGGAGTGGCTGTATGCCTTAAAAATAACTACATGATGGAATTTGAGATACATCCTACTAGAAAATAATCCAAAAAAAATCAGAATATGATCTTTTAAGCTATTTTCTGTCTGTGAATTTATATTAACGATAGTAATTCTTTGTTGTGTTGATTGTTTGACTTGTAGCAAGTCTGATCATACTGTTCAATATAATAATGTTACAATCAACAACAATTTCATTTGAGAGCTATTACAAATAGCAATTTAACCAAATTATCGATCAGTATACTTAGTGATGACACGGCAATATATGACGAATCATAATAAACTTCGTTTAGCAACCTTCAGAATATTATAATTCTAGTATTACAAGAGCAGTAAACTTTGAGTTCGCCACCACTATACAGTGCGATTGGTTATACGAAAAATACGTCCATGGATAAACTGGTATGACAACCAGCTTAATTGATACATTATCTTTATATGAATTAATTTCGTCGTTGTTGTACGTTCTACAGTATAGATGTAACATTCATGGAGGATATTGAAATTGAGAAGTAAAATGTATCTTTCATTTATTTGACTAAATCTAATTATTCTACGTTCACTAAAGCTCTATCACGATTGCATTAGAACAATATTTTTTATTGATCCGTTTTCCTAATTAATTATCTATCATTATCGTACATATATCTCTTGAGATTTTTCCTTTATTTTGTATTAAAAGGCAATCGCTATTCGACGATGATGACGTTAGTTGATTATCATGGACGGCATGATATTTTAATTGATGAAAAAATGCCTTTTGATAATAAGTTGTAATTGTTTGTTTCATCGATATCACAGCGGTGCCGTTTCAAAATAGATGAAAAAACTTTTAATGAATGAATCTACAGATAGAGTGAAAAAAATTTCTTCAACCGTTTTATATCACACGCATCTCTGGTAGAAACAATGCGGGAAACTCTTTCAACTAACATAATTTGTTTGATAAAAATAGCATTATATTTTCAGTTCATTTAGATTTGATACAGAAATGGAAAGAAATTGAAGGACATCCAGTTCACTAACAGTATCTGAACGAGTACTTGCTTGAGTTGTGATCTGACAGGGATATGAAATGTGATAGATGACAATGGAGTACTGTTGAATAAATGTATACCGATAATAGTTGAAATAAATCTTAGTTTTAAAAAAGAAATGCATAATATAATTTGACATATACTGCCAGTTTGAATGATTTTCCGCAACAGTAATTCTATAGTATAAGATTTTTTTCTGATATTTGCACGTTTTATCTTTTTTCAAATGAATGTCTTTTTATATCAAATCAAATCTGAGTAAGTTGCTCTTATCTGAAGATACTTTTAAGAAAATAATTTAGTATTGTAAGAATGTCTTCGACGGCATTATTGATCAATGATCTCCGACTGAAATTGCAGATTTCAATCAGTATATCATTCATGATCTTTGGTACTGTGGGTAATCTTCTGAACATAATTCTGTTTCGAAAACGGACTCTATGGACATTATCACCTTGTGTTCCTTATCTATTTGTTGCTTCGCTTAGTAACATGTTCAATATTTATGCATTTATTCCGTTTCGAGTGTTAAGTGGTTTTCAAATCACTTCAGTAAACACTTTTCCAGTTCCTTGTAAATTACAAATCTATTTCTATTATATATCATTTGGTTTATCTACATGGCTCATGGTTGGTTGTTGTGCAGATCGATTCTTCTCTTCATCACTTGATGCACGAATTCGACGTTTTAGTAATGTACGAATCACTAAAAGAATGATATTTCTTCTAACATTTCTAATTTATGTTGGTTATTCGCAAGTTCTGTATTGTTACAACTCCAATCTAGTGGGTCAGCTTTCAGTATGTAACGTTATACCTAATTTTTGTACTGTAATTGATGTGATCTATTATTTGCTGGTTCAAACGGTCGGACCACCTATACTTATGATCACTTTTGGCATTGGAACATATCTTCACATAAAAGAGAGACGACGACTTTTGCTGCGATTAACAGTGAACATAGAATTGACTGGAAGAAACGCACCAATAACAACAAATGCTGAGAATCCCGAAAGAAATAATGATAAACATATTTTGCCTATGTTAACTATTCAAGTGATTATATATTTGGTCTGTTCAATTCCTCTTCTTGCTACAAAAATCTATCAAATGATTCCTCTATCGATTGTGAAAAGTGATGTGCGTATCGCTGGCGAAAGTCTTTTTTTCAATTTTGCGGTCTTATTTAGTCTTGGTGACAAGGTTTTTTCATTTTATATCTATACATTATCGAGTAAGTTTTATCGAAAAGAACTAATCAAGTTAGTCCGACAATGTCGTCCACATCGTCGTATAGCTGCACAAAATTAACTTCGATTTTCATACTATGCAAAATATACTTCTACAAAACTAAAATATATCTCATCACAAAGATTAAATAACAATCCCTTGAAAGATTTTCGTGTTGTCTATTATTTACTTTATTCCAGCTCAACTCTTTCATTTTGTGTCTCTTTGTACTTAATGTTTGTTTGTATTAATTGTATTCGAAAAATAAATTGAAGATGGTATCACAAAAAAATAGTGCAATCATTTTATTTCAGATCGTTGTGTCTTCGAGGATGTGAGTGTGCGTATCAGAAGAATACAATATCCACACTGCTCGGGATGCATGTAGCACACATCATTGCATAGTTGGCACAAATGATAAATCGAATTATTCTGTCAAAAACTTAAATCATTCGCTAACTTCCTACACAACAGTGACATGAATAAAATGTCTAGATGTTTTCATTCAATTTTTTTTAGTCTTACATATAAAAAAAACTTTTATAAGATAAATAAAAGGATCAATCAAGTCCATTGTCTCAAGATACCATTTAGCTTATAAATCGTACGTCCGAGATGAAAAAATATTATTGATGAACAAAAATACAGATTCAATAGTGGAACCTGTTGTTATTATCATTAGTTTCTGAACTTTAACCTAGATATTTACTGGCTCATTCATAATAAACATTCGATCATAATCGGGCTTTGTCTCTCTCTCTCGTTGTGTATAAGTTCCGTTTCCTATTACTTACAGTCATTATGAATAACCTCTATGGTTTTGATCAATTTAGAATAGAATTAACTGTATAATTAAAACTATACATCACATCATTTTTCACGATAGTGATAAATAGTGAGTACTTCAGAGAAAAATATGTTGTTTGTTAACCTTCAGAGTTTTAAGCGGTCGGAAGAAAAGAAAAAACGAGAATTCTTTTACTTTTTCTTTATCACCGTGGCCGCACAAGACTGATAGAGTTGTGTTGACAGAATAGAAAAACGTGGTTAAAAGATTTCAAATCACTCTTTATCAACAATACATATTTATTAATGGCAAGTATTAATTCAACTTATATTCAAAGAAATGCAGTCGAAAATCTTATACTTATCTGTTTGGATAAAAATATAAAAGAATATGAAAATTCTTTAAATCTATTTCAATTATATGTTAATACAATTAAATTATATTCGAATCCAGAAGAATTTCGAACATTTATTCAACAAATCAAAGATGAAAAATTACTTGTAATCATATCAGGAGATATAATTGAACAGGTTACTTCTGAAATGGAAAATCTTTCGCAAATTGATTCAGTATATATTTATTGTAATCAAAAGGAGTCTCATGAAAATTGGTCGACAAATTCTCCTAAAATAAAAGGAGTTTATTCTAATCTTCAATCAATTCATGATGCACTTCGACGAGATGTACGTCGAATAAATAATGATTTAATATCTATACAAATACTTCCAAATAGAAAATCCATCGAATTAGAACAATCATTTACTTGTGCATTATTATTAAAAGAAATTTTAATTAATAGTGAATCTAATGAACAAATTAAACAAGAATTTATTCAATTTTCTCGTTTTTATTATGAGAAAAATTCCAACGAATTAAATCTTATTGATCTTTTTCAAACAAATAATTATAATCAAATAACACCAATTGAATGGTATACTCGTGAATGTTTTATTTCTTCCATGATACATCGAGCTTTACGATTATATGATATTGAAATTCTTTATAAATTAGCTTTTTTTATACGAGATTTACATAAACAAATAAATGATTCATATCTACAATCACCTGATCATCAAAAGTTAACTGTCTATTATGGATTAGGAATATCAAATGATCAATTCACAACATTAAATATGAATATAAATGATTTAATTTCGTTTAATACTTTTTTATTTACAACGATCGATAGAAAATCTTCATTAAATTTCGCGAAACAATCTGAAAATGATTTGCATTTAATACCTGTTCTATTTCAAATTGAAATCGATCGTTCAAAATCATCATCATCTCCATTTATTGCATTGGATGAATTAGATTATTACCATGATAATGATCGACATGTTCTTTTTACATTAAATTCGATTTTTCGAATCACTCATATTGAACGTGGTGAAGATAAAATACAACAAATTAATTTAATTTTAATAGATGATAATGATGATAGATTATTAAATCTTAAACATTCAATACAGAAACAACTGAATGGATTTTTGTCATTGGGTCAAATGATGATGGAAACTAATGACCTGATAAAAGCAAAAAGTATATTTGAAATATTACTTAAAAATACAACTGTTAGTAATCAAAAAGAACTCCTTTCTATTCATCGTAAACTTGGACTTATCGATCAAAGAATGAAAGATTGGGCAGGTGCACTTTTACATTATAAACAATGTCTTAATATACAACTGTCTTTTCTTCCATCAAATGATCGTTTTCTAGGGCCGAGTTATGCTGGCGTTGGCGCAATTCTAATGAAATTATGTAATTATGATGAAGCTTTAGAGTATTATCAGCATGCTATTGATTGTGGTCGCAATACATCTCATGTAGATTCATCACTCATTGCTACTTACTACATTGGTACTGGTCGAATCCTCCATATACAAGGCAAAAATTCTGAAGCACGCAAAAATTTTGAACTTGCGCTCACATTTGCACAAAAATCTCATACACTATTACCTGAAATTAATCATTACTTGACGATAATATCCTAGAATCTTTTATGAATATCTATGTTTCTCTATAAAAATAAAAATAAACTTTAAATTCGGAATCCAGTTATGCTTCCATATTTTATCTAATGATATTTGAAATTATAAAACGCACATCATGATAAATGCATAGTCACGATCGACATCTATAATTGAACTGAATATAAATCAGAAAAAAACGTATTCTGTCTATCGTAAAGTCTCATTATTATCGACTGAGATTAAAAATAATTAATTTAATGTTCTGAAAGTTATATTTTTACTACGTAGAACTTCTCACTGGTTTTTCATCTACGCAAATGGAAGTTTTATATTTATTAAGAGTAGAATAAGAGGAAGACAAACAATCTATAAAGTATGAATCATAGAAATATTTTTATTGCCATATATCATATTACATTTAGTTTTTAATATCTAGACTTTTTTAAACTGATTTATATAGAGTAAAAATATTTGTAACGAATAATGTTCTTATGTCCAAATACAGAGAACTTGAAATGTCCTATTACGCTTGAATTATTTCATGATCCTGTAATTGCTCAAGATGGTCATACATACGAACGAGAAGCAATTGTATCATGGCTTACACAAAATGGTACTAGTCCGAAGACTCGCGAGCCAATGACTATAGAGTCATTACGACCAAATCATACTGTAAAACAATTTGTCGATGAATTTCAATCGACATCATTACAAAAACATTACCGATTCAAACTTGATGTTGACATTAGAAAAGCAAAAAGACAACCAATTTTTGAAGCACCTGGAAAGGTTATTTTTGAAGGTCAATGGATAGTAAAATCTGGTCCACCAGTTGTTCTACTAAACATTGAAGGAGCTAAAGCAAGACAAGAAGCATCCTATTATGTTCGACTTGGTAGCCATCCACATGTTGTACATACATATGGAATAGTTGAAAATGATAATAATCGGCTAATACTTGCTCAAGAATATGCTGCTGAAGGTAATCTTGGCAGACTATTAAAAGACGGAGACTTTCAACCATCACAAGCAGTTCTATTAGCAATATTTTTACAAATTATTGATGCAATGACATATCTTGCTGAGTATGATATTGTACATGGAGACTTAGCTTGTCGTAATGTACTTGTCTTTCGATTCAATAACTCTGATGCTACACAAAACTTAGTCAAATTAACAGATTTTGGTTTGACACGTGCTAGTACATTGTATACTGTTGTTGGTAGTACAGCATCAACAACTATGGCAGTAGTTCCTATAAGATATGCAGCACCTGAAATTCTTCAAAGGGGAGATCCATCGAAATATTCTGAGAAATCAGATGTGTATTCAATGGGTGTTCTAATGTTTGAAGCTTGTTCACAAGGACAATTACCATATGAATCGATAAAAGATGAAAATGAAGTTCGAAAACGTAAGATTAATGGCGAAATTTTAAGTCAACCTGAGAACTGTGACGATGCATTGTGGAATATAATTGTCGGCTGTTGGCATCAAGATCCAAAAGCACGTCCAACATTCAAAAAATTAAAAGAATTATTGTTAGAACTACAATCACGACCAATATCCACAATATTGAGAAGACCATCAAC